AGGTTGTAAATTTTAGTTGAAGATGGTGATACATAGTCCACATATATCTCCTTGGATTACCTCCAAGAAATGAATTGAATCATTATATGTATGTGCGTATGCTGACATATAATCAAATTACTTAATTTCGAGCAATCGACAACTTATGCTTCTGGCATAACCGTGTCGACAATTCCTCTAATTTTCCCAATGTACGCTTCTGGCCGTACATGTTAGAGATGATGCACATATATTCGATTTCTTGTCTTCAATGGTTTCAACATAATAACCATTAGCTCAAATATCTTCAAAGTTTTAACAACATTCTACTGGAACGTGGAGAAAAAGGAGCTACTTTAATGGGCAAAATTGTGCCATGAGATACATAATTTGGACATTATCATAACCATCTATCAAAACTACATGTGCCTCATTTAATTATCAAAGAGGTCTTGCAACAAATAGACATGTAATTAATAAAGTACGACTTATCTCTCAGGATAGTATGTGTTGCCGCACTATCTACCAGCCATTTACCCACACATGTCATGTCTAGAGAGTTATATAAATTTAATCACATATATTCAGTACTTAAGGTACTAGATAAATTCATCAAGCAAACACCAATGAATAACATAATAATTAACTTAGAACATACATTGACATAAATATATGATCTAGAGCATAAACTAAACATAATCAAAATACGAATATAGTTCATAACATGAGCATATGAAGTAAGATGATTGAAATTCAATAAACTAATAAAGCCGAGTAATAAAATAAACATAATGCATGAAATCAACAGTTCAATCATATCCCAATATGGGTTATTTGGTCAGATGTGCCCAAGTATGGAATCTGAGTGACGCGCTATACATTCATTTACCTCTACCAACTCAGTCTATGCTGGTGTATTATTATTTGTATCTCCAGCCCCAACGTTATTCGCACTTCAGGTGCGCGACCCATGCTTAGATCCACCTTATATAAAACATATGTGTATGTTCTGATTTTTGAGCTCTATTGGGATTTTAAAATTCATATACAAATCGTTTATGAATTGACTTGTTCCTTGCTTCAGGCAAGTGTATTGTCTTTTGGTAATCAAAACGACTAGCCAGGGTATCCCATTCTTTATGCGGACCCTCGTTTGATGAATAGTCCAGACGAAGGACTTCATCTAATTATCTCGTAATCAGAAACATAATCTCAGCCTTCTGGGCTTTACCTAATAAATTATCCTCGAAAACAACCATTCTCAATTGCTCACTAAGCGTATGGATCTTAACATCCATTCTCCAACTAATATAACTTTCATCAAATAAATTAAGTTGTAAACTTGAGTTTGCTCATGTGTTTTATCTCAAATCAAATACAATAAGGAGTATTATTGTTTTATGGGAATGTAACCTCCATAAACAATTTCATGAATATTTTGCACATATTAGAACTTCTGGTCTAATAATTCATACACCACATGTTCATACACATTCATGGATTACATACGATAAACCATAACGACGAACGAAATATTTCTTATCATTTTCATATCACAAAATTACATATGGCAGATGGATCAATTGAATAGAATTCTCCATTAGAGATGGACCAAAATCTTCATGCAATTAAGACTTTGTAAATTGTCAAATATATAAAATATAACATGCTAAATAATATAAATAATATATAGCATGTACAATCTCATATAAATTCCACGAACTAATTCTGAAATTATTCCGGTAGGTAATAATGAATTAACTAAATAGATCCATAATGCTATCAAGTATCAGCAGTGCATTAGATCATCTTAAAATGAAATGACCAAGTTATTGTAGCAAAATTTTCTAACAATTCATGCAATACAAATTCAACCAAGAAAGAAAATTCTATTAATATGGCTACAATCACGTTCAGTAAGAAACATAAACAATTTCACATTCATCATCAAATATATTCACTCCTCATTCTACAGTGCATATTTATTCATAAACTTCTTAGTGCCACTGTATTCTAAATATTATGATAAAACATTCATAATACAATTTCATATAAAATCCTCGAAACATGAAATAAACCAGCAAGATATCATAATCCTTTGACAATATAGAATCACACATTTATCGTCGCTAACCATAAAATAATTTACTACACCACATACCAAAAAACAATCATTGTGATATTTATACCATACTATAACATATAAGCATGCTTCCAATAATTACGATTCACATCATATTTTGAAATTATCCACAGTATGAATGAAATAATGACTTGAAGATAAATATGTACTTCATGCCGTAAAATAGATCTAGTGCATCTCTAACGAAATCGAAATTGCAAGGTATAACGGCTTACTTGAAACGCTTACACCCAAATGATGGAGAATTTATTGGATTCTTTGAACAAGATTACCATTTCACGAACGAACTCGAATCACAAGTTCTTCAAGCATTCACGTGCCAAAAATGGTTCATTTTTCACGAGCACCTGAATCACAAACTCTTCAAGTATCCTAGTCCCACGAACGATTGTCTTTCCACGATCACGACGAGCATTTCGTGCTGATAACGTGTTGTAAAATGGGCTATTGATAACTCTTTGGTTTGTGATTGTGGAAATACATAAGAACATAATAACAATAATAGAGAGAGAATGAGAGAACACAAGTAAACAAAATCCGTAGAGAGATAATTGTGGGTATTTAGGGGAGGGGAGATTTTCATTTATATAGGTGTAATCCACCGAAAGTTACAAAGGAGTTACATAGGAGTTACAACCACTACAATGAGTGGGGATAATGGGGTAGTGGGAAGTTGAGAATCTATAGTGGAATATGGAGGTTACAATCTCTCATGTGTTAGGATAGGAAGACCCATTTTTCCATATTATTTACAACATAAATAATATATATAAACTAATTAACTCTTGAATTTGACATTCAAATTTCAATAATGGGTCCTAAAACAAAAGGTAATTATCAGTCAAGACTAATTTGTAAATAATGAAAAAAAAAATATCAATATCTAAAAGTGTTCTATAATTTATCATAACCTTAAAGAAATTAAAATAAAAGAAGAAAAAAAGTATTTATTAAATATATCGGTATTCAGTATGGTACGGTACACCAAGCATCAATACCTTATATTGTACTGAATATCATAATTTAAAAAAAAGTTATCGGATACCGAACCGAATTGTTGATTCAATTTTAGAATTCATTTCGATTCGCTCAATTTACCGACCGAGTGAAAACCCCTAGTTAATCAGCATCTCTCTCTAAGGTCGCCGACCTTAGTATCTAACCTAGTAAATAATACCGTACCTCTGATTCTGGCATTCAAAGCTATCAGTAGAAGGGAAACCCATGTAGATAACATGGTGGGAAATTAATTTATTCATTTTTTTCTATTTCTCTAATACGTGGATTAATTATTATCATAAAATTACAACGTTATATTTCTTTCATCTATAAATAGTAATATTAAAAAGGGGGTATTTGACAAACACCCCTCATTCAATTTTGACTTCTTGATAAATCCATTTTTTTAATTGATATTTGATATAAATCCAATTGCTTGGAATTATCCAAAATACCCCTATTTAATATTACTAGAAATTACCATATTATATTATTTTAAAAAATTCATTATTTTGGTAGATGTGCACATCCCCCAATTTTCTCCCCACACAATCCACCAATTATCTCCCCTACGCCATTTCTGTTGAAGTTTTTTTTTTTTTTTTTTTTTTTTTAATTTTTTAAAATAGTTTGTTTTATATCAATTTAAAACAAAAAATTCGTTTTTTTTTATTTCACTTTTTTAAATGGTTTATATTTTAAAAAAAATTGAAATTCACTACATACATATCGAAAACCACTAATTTTTTCGTAAACCACTATGAAATTAAAGTAAAATTACTTTAAAATAAGTACAATCCACATTAATATTAACCTAATCCACTCTATAATTAATGAAAACCACTATGTAATTAACGAAAATTATTATGTAATTAACAAATTCCATTACAAAAATTCACTAAAAACTTATCCATTAACAAAAATCACTTAATAATTAATGAAAACCACTCTGTAATTAACGAAAACCACTCTGGAATTAACGAAAACCACTGTATAATTAACGAATTCCATTACGAAAATCCACCATGTAATTAATGAAAACCACTTTGTAATTACAATTTTGACTTGTTGATAAATGGGGACTCGTCATCAATAGCTTTTCAGGGGTTGCACAAAAACACGAGTTTGTTTGGCTTATCGATACATGTCGAATTCCATTCGTTTGTGAGAAGATCGGATTATGTACCAATTGCGTTTCCTGAATATTCCCGCATGCTCCTGTCCCTCGGGTTTTAGTCTCTGTTTTTACGCCACAACAATGGAAAAACTTGTGTATTTGAAAATCTCTCAATTTAATTAATTTTGTATTTGTATCTCTATTCTTTTCGACCCACAACAATGGAGAAACTTGGGATATATGTGAATATAATAATGGGAGTTGTGTGTGTGCGCGCGTGTGTTCAAGAGAGAGAGACTTTGTGTACGTGTGGTGTGTGTGCAAGAGAGAGACTGTGTGTGCGTGTGTTGTGTGTGTGTGCAAGAGAGGTATATATCTTTTAATTATAAATTAAATATAATTTTTTTCTTAATTAGGGGTACAATGGTAATAATTAAGTGTAATTAATTAATAAAAATTATCTTGGATTTATCTTAAAAATGTAAAATAAAATTGGACTCATTGTAATGAGACTTGTGTAACTGGGGAGTTTTGTCAAATTATCCCTATTAAAAAAAAAATAGAGCAATCCAAAGTGGTGGTTGTGGTGGTTGGCCATTGAGTTCAGGCTATCACAAGTGGTGGCTATCTATGTAACTAACACTCTTTAATTTCAATACACAACTAAATGTCTATAAAAAGAGACATACTAATAACATTATCTCACAACCAATTTTCTTTCATAATCTTCTTAATTTGTTTCTTGATATTACTAACTTAGTCATGACAATTCAACACTTCTTTCCCATCTTTCTCATTTCCTTAATATGCCTTTCCTCCATTGGCTATGCCTTGAGGGTGATACCGCTTGACGAAATACTGTCACCATTCGATTTTATCAAGATACTGCAAGGTTCCGTTAAGGGTGATAGAACCCTAGGTATCAGTGGACTCAAAAGCTACCTTCAGAAATTTGGTTATCTCGAGAACCTAAATAACACCCAAGTAAATAACGTATTTGACGATGCCCTTGAGTCCGCCATCAAAACCTACCAACAAAATTTCAATATTAACCCCACTGGCATACTAGACGCTGCAACCGTGTCGACAATGATCATCCCTCGATGTGGGGTCCCCGACATCATCAACGGTGAAAACACGATGCTGCCTGCAAAGGCAGAAACCCTCTAATCGAGCTCTAGCAGCACCCATGGAAAATCCATACAGTATCCCACTACACTTTCTTTTTAGGAAACCCTAAATGGCCGGCTTCCAAATATAACCTAACATACGAATTTTTGTCCAACGTACCCTCTAACGCAGTGGCCCCTGTAGAGCGGGCCTTTCAGAACTGGGATAACGCCACCCACTTTACTTTTAGACGGTCTTCCAGCGATCAGACCGCTGATCTGATCATAGAGTTTCAACGTGGGTATCACGGCGATGGAGCCTCGTTCGATGGCCCAGGCGGGACCCTAGCCCATGCGTTCGCTCCAACCAATGGAAGGTTTCATTACGATGCGGACGAGAGGTGGTCCGTCGATCCCGTCGCGAATACTTTCCACTTGGAAACTGTGGCACTGCATGAAATTGGGCACCTCCTTGGACTTGGGCATAGCTCCATACAAGCTGCGATTATGTACCCTTCAGTATCAGCAGGAACAGCCAAAATCAAATTGAATACAGATGATATTCAAGGAATTAAGGCTTTATATACTATGTGAAATTCAGCATTCCCTGTTGAATTAGAAGACCTATTATTATCATGCATGCATGTGACAATAAACGTCCATTATAGGCCCCGTTTGGTTGCCAAGATAAGCCATGATTAACTAAATAGTTGGACTTAATTTGATGTTTGGTATCCTCAATAATTTGCCGGGTTGACCCGCCAAAATTATATAATCATGGCTTATCTTGTCTTATCTTGGCTTATCTTGCCTTTTAATGAGTTTTTTTTGTTGGACATTTCAAGCTCCAATAAAATAATTGGGTCTCATTAGATTATTTAATCTTATCTTGGCTAATTTTATCTTGTCAACCAAACGGGGCCTATATGGACTAATTATTAGTACGTACAAAGGACGGATTTTCCTTTGCTATCAATAAAATAAATTACTTTTTATGATCATTTATGTTTTTGTTTTCCATTGAGCTTGTATTTAAACATTTGACGGCTATAAAACGTGTTTTTTACAACGACCATTAATCGTAGTAAAATATATCAAATTTGTACTAACTTTTGCAATGCATATGCAATCAATTTCCCCCCGTAGTATATACGGGTGTGCCAAAAATTTGCTACGTTAAATGGCCGTAGCAAATACTTTTTTTGCTACGGTAAAATCCTAGCATTTACCACGACTCCAAGAGTGTCCCGTAGTAAAAAAAATATTGGTCATAAAAAAATTGAACTCGGATTATCAGATGTTATATATCTCTTCTATTGTACCAACTAAACTATGGTTACAGACTACAGTAGAAATTTGATAAATTAATAATCTCACTTAAATAATAATTTCTTCCGATTCAAATTCGAAAGAAAATGTACTAAATTATTAATTCGATAATTTAATATTTCACTAAATTTAATAGAATTTAGTGATGGAGGATAAAATTTTAGATGATTAGACTGTGGTTCACTCCATAAACAATTTCTGAACACATGACAAAACCAACACTGAATTAATAAAAACAAACAAACAAACAAATACCTTCATCAACTTCAATTCCAACAGTGATTTTCTCATGCCTCATCCTCGTAGCCGTCAACCCACTGCGCCCTCGACGACGAGCGCTAGTCATCAGCTTCAACGTCGTCTGTTGAAACCACCGCCGCCAACTACTGATCAGTCACCACCCTTCACGCGGCGGCGGGAGGCAGCAGCAAATACTCTTCCGCCACCACCACCGTTGGTCGACGTCTTTCTTTTCCTCCGAATTTATGTCGAGAAGAGAAGAGAAGAGAACAGAGAAAAGATGAGAAAAGGAGAAGAGAGAAATGGCAAATGAAATGGGTTAGAGTTTTGAAACGTGAAAATGTGATTTAATATTAATAAGGGTGGTTTGGGAATTTTTAAAATAGCATTTAGGTGAGATATTAACTAATGGGGTTTTCTCTAATTATTTTTTGGAGGGGGTGTTTCCTTAACTCATTTTCCTAGATGAGGGAGTTCTTGCTAATTTTCCCTAATAACAATAACTGCGGCTATTCGAACTAGTTCCACTAAGACGAAGACCAGCTACAAGAAAGACCACACAAAAATATTATTTATCCAAGAGGAAAATCATGAAATGATTAATATGCCCATTAATTATATTTCTCTTGTTTTGTTATTGAAATTCAAAAAAGACAAGTTACTTTTGGAAATAAAAAAAAAACATTGCAAGACTAGACACAACAAAACCCTTCACCGTCGAAGCAAAAAATCTGGCCCCCAAGCGTCGCCATCGGAACCGAGCAGTCCTTATCACTGGAGAAATGTTGAGGTTTTGTGTATTTATGGAAGAGGAAAGAGTTGTTTTGTGAGTTTTGGAAGATGGAGAAGATTAAAATTTGGTCTTGTGGTTTTGTAATTAATTTTTTGTGATTTTTTAGTTTATGATATTGCATCTATTTGATTTTTTTCTAAAAAATAGGGGTAAAATATTATTTGTTTTGTCATCCATGGGTTCAGAAAATAATTTTGTGCATGCAGCCACTCCACACTTGATGGTCATTACGACCACTGGAGCATTTTGATGGAGAATTTTTCTGCGATCCAAAGAGTATTGGCTAGTCGTAGAAACTGGTGTTGGAGAAATTGGAAACGTCGAAAAAGGTGTAAAAACAAACTTGGAAGCGAGACGGCTGAAATATTTAAAGGCAAAAAATTATCTCTTTCAGGCGATTGATCGTCCCATCCTAGAAACTATTCTTTGCAAAGAAACTTCCAAACATATTTGGGATTCCATGAAGAAGAAATATGAAGGCTCGACGAGAGTGAAGCATGCATAACTTCAACCCTTGAGAAGGGATTTTGAAACACTCCAAATCAAAGATGCATGGAGAATCAGTCACTAGCTATTGTGCTAGAACTATGGAGATCAGCAACAAAATGCGTTTCCATGGCGAGAAAATGGGAGATATCACTATGGTGGAGAAGATATTGCGTTCCCTAACACCAAAATATGATTATGTTGTATGTTCCATTGAAGAATCAAAGGACATAGATGCACTTTCTCTCGATGAACTGCAAAGTTCATTGTTGGTCCATGAGCTAAAAGATGAACCGAGGTTCAACAGTAGAGGAGCAGGCCCTAAAGGCTTCTACTAATACTCAATTTTTTTTTTTTTTTGTTATAGGGGTCTAGGAATTTCATGTAATATGAATATTGTAAAGAAATTGTGTATAACAAATTTGATCTATTCTTCTATATAACAGAAATCCGTATGTGACTGTGTTCTCTACAAAATGATTCTCTCATGCATAGCACAAGGTATACGTATATATATGTGTGTGTGTATGTGTGTAGAAAAACAAGGCCTAGTAGAAAAAATCTATACAGCCAGCTTTATGGTCACTTGGCCTGCATTTCTCTTCTCATCTTTACTTCATTTCCTCATCATTAAGCAATGATCAAGAATATTTACTTATTTAGTGTTGCGTAATGATCATATACATACATACGGAAGTATTATTTGATCACTTATTCTTCTTTCCACCGGCAAGAATACGCTGAATCTGCAAACCTCGGCTAAAAGCCTGGTTGAATAGCAGCCTTGTTTGGAACTCTGACACAAACGGGAACCAAGCTAATATCGCTACTGGAGCAAAAATCACGAATCCCATTAGGTACTCGTAACCTCTTGCTAGAGCTTTTACCGATCCCCACATTCCCAGTCCCTTTGTAATAGGCCTACAAGCTTGTGCTATCTGTTGGAGATTACATACGGTTGTTTGATCAAATCAACGAATAAATAAAGTGTGTATGTATAGATATATATATATATGTACCAATAGAAGTGCCCATCCGGTTGGTAAGAAGCCTAACAAGCTGGCAAAAATGTCTCCGATTGTGAGCTCGAGGAATTTTATGGAGATGATAAGTCCGATTATGAATGCGATGAATAAGAACAGTTTTAGAAGTCGAAACATCAGCTGGAAATCTGCGCTGAACTTCTTTCTCCCCATCGACACAATCTGCGGATCGAAAAGATTACTATTTTTTAAGTTTCTCTCTTTACAACTGAAAATATAGAATATTTATATGAAATTTGATGATATTTATATGATGCTGACCTTTAAAATTATCACCACAGCAACAATGACCAGCCAAGATAAACCATAAACCTGCAATAGTAATAGAGGATTAATCAATCAATATTCAGAAATGTTTTCAAATTCTGCTCAAATGAAAGGTAAATTAACTCCAGATTCTTACCACAATGCTCTTGTCATTCTGTGTGACATGCAACTGATAAACAACTCCATACTGGTACAAGAAGAAGCGCAGAGAAAGGACGATTTCCCAGAACCTTCCGGAGAATCCCGTGTATTGGAGATGCTCTTGCTCCTCATCCCACCACGATTCCCAGCTCTTGGTAGCTGGAACTCCGATTCCACCATGGTTACTTATCCACTTAGTCCAGTCCTCCAAATCCTCGACTATCTTCTGCCACTCGAATCCAGAAGGATTGAAAAGAAACGGAGAAAACAGCCACGAAATAACAAGGAACCACATCGAGAAAGTGAGGAACAGATAAGCTTTAGAGTTGGGGGTAGCTGTTCCATAGGCGTGATAAACTATGAGGAGAATCATCAATTCGAGAGCTTTAGTGAAGTGGCTCCTCGAGTACATTCTGTAATTCTCTGCGAATTTTTCATGCCTCACCACGAAACCACGGCCGGTGGCTCTGTATTTAGCACCGCCATGCAACACTGTTCGGCCAAAGTAATGGAGCTTCGTACCGAGTGAGAAAGTGAAGAAGACAGCGGCTAGTTGAAGTTGCATGATTATTACATCGCCAGCTGCAGTTGTAAAGCCCCTCTCGAGTCCGATTTCCATAACCATGGGGAGTGTCATTAAAATACCTAGTTGAACAATAGATTGAGAAGCCATGACAGCTGTCAAAGCATCGTCTCCTCTAGCTCTTGCGTGTCTGACTATGGTCTTCTCTAGCCCACTTAATGAAAGATAGAGCTTACCGTACAAGTATGCATATACCGTAAGGACCACCAGCTGCATAGGATCAAGGAATATTATGTTCAGTTAAAAATTTTATGAAGTACGTAACAAAACAAATCCATTTAACTATTGAGATCTTATGCTTAGGTTCTACTAGGTAAGCGTAATTGATCCCGGATATCTAATCATAAATCCTACTAAATGTGTTCTTACTCTACTAAGTTACAGATGAAAATCTCCATACAGTTTACCAATTCAACATGCAACCATGTGAAGATAGGTATCACGTATGATAGGTTTAAACAATAAGTGCACAATGTATACATGATTAACATTTAATTAAAGGGAATATTTTGTCGAATCAATTAGTTTAGGCGAAAAATCACTATGTCCAGTCAGGGATGATTTTAAATCGTACTGTTCTAGGGACTGCCAAGAAATATCATACTTGTACCAAAAGCATGCCATAGAAAACAGCTGCAAAGAAGAATATGAATTTCCATGTACAGTATTACAGTATGTAATTATCACTTAGCTTGCACCAATACTAAAGTTAAACCTACCGAATAATTAAGGATGAAACAAGACCTAATCAGAATGCTTTCCTTTGGAAATTACGCAACACGAACGTTTACATTTTCAATCAGAAAGTAATAGGCAGCAAAAACTGGTTACGAGGAATAAGCCTTGCCCCTACTCATGCTTAAGTTTCTGTAGCCGTCTTAAAAATGAAGGATGCAGTACCGTTAAACATGTATCATTATGGTCGAATATTATTTCTATAAGAAATTCAAAGTTCACGATATCTGTAGTTAAGATTAGCAAAAGTGAAACATATTACCATTGAGCTGACATAAAAACCAGTTGTTGTGTAGTAACATGACAACATGCGGAAGAAGTCAAAGCGATGCCCTAATCTGTAGATATCCCGACTGAGTGTCTGCTCCCCATTACCGCACGCAACTTTGGCTTCAAAAAGTGAGATCTGATTGAGGCCAACATCTCGTCCCTTTCCAACTTGAATGTATTCATGGTGAGTTATATTTCCACGTCTTAGTGTTGAATTAAAACCTTCACACATCAAGGCATATATGTCAGTGTGTATGTATGTATAACATAAGTATATATGTGGGGAAATATTGTTTCAAGGTCTCACCAGCAAATATATCCTCACTAAGATTAATTCCCCTTGAAGCTTTGCTAATACCCCCTCGGGTGATGTGGAAAATTCTGTCGAAAACGTCCGGATGCCCATAGTGAAATCTCACCCTGTAAAAAGCAGTTAGAGAGAAAGGAAACATGTAAAAGCTGAGAGTGCAACCTACTCCAGAATTTGCTATAGTTATCATCACATTTTCTAAGTACTTATACTCCAACCATCAATTAAAGATGAGGTATATTGTTTCTTGGACAATAGAACAAGCACCAAGAGCGATTGTTCTGTTTTTGATGAAAAAGAAATGAGAACATACTTCAATGGTCTTGCAAGAACTCTCTGGCCAATGGTGACAAAGCTTGTCTCTTGGTTCGACATAAACCAAGCCAAAGACGAGACACTGCAGTTGAAGATGTGAAACATTAGAGACACCTAAACCTGAATGCGTACCGAATGGACAAGAAACCAACAGCTGATATCCAACCTTCCAGTGAAAATATGCTCACGAACACCCAGGATTGTAGGCGATCGCACCCCATGATCCTCGTTGAATTCCTCAAGTAGATTGCGCATCTTAAAAGCTTCCTCCAAATAGTTGTCCTACAAAGAAGAAAATAAACTCGATTTGTTTCTGTAGGTAACTTCTTCACCCACATAATGACTTCAAAGTTCACCAAATTCTTTACCTGATTCATGTCAATGGTCTGAAGAGCTTCCCCACGAGTAAAGATAATAGCATGGTTTTGGTTTTCAGGTTTCCCTTCTCCTACCTTTGCTGAACCAGGCAGCTTTATACGGTAAATTTCCTACAGAAGAAAACAAACTTTAATCAGCTTTGGAGTCAAAACTGAGTTGGTTTGATATTTAATTTGAATTTGAAGCACTACTTACCTGATCAAGATTATCAACAGCTTTTACCAATACAGAGTAATAAACCTTCTGATTTTTTCCACTTTCCCTTTCCTCAACTTCATCTATATATGCTACACGAAGAGATGGATTACTGCAAAGAAGTAGAGAGAGAGAGACAAAAGAAATTCCTTTCAAATGAGCTCATTAACATAAGAGTTGCGATATATTCTTAATATATACTAGATTATATTCTGAACTCGTCAGAAATGACCAACTTACTTAACCATCAAATTTAAAATGTCAGTTGCGCGACGATCTCCACTGAGCTTCTGGTTTCCATAGTTCTGGCAGGTGGCAACATAAGTAAACTTCATGTCAGCTACAGCCTCTAACTGTGTATATACGGATCTTTGACTCTTCTTATCTTCCGCCGATGGTTCTATAATAGTTTTATACCCTTCAAGTATCTCTGTTCAAATTAAGCAAAAGCAGTCAGAAAGAAAAGCTGATTATCTCTGGTAGTCTGATAACTACTTGTTTATTCGGCTTCTTCAACAGTTCTGATTTAGAAGACAGTGAGTTTCGAGAATTTCACAGATGATACAAAGAGTCCGATAAGAAGAATAAACCATATGTACTCTCTTTCAAAGTTTCTGCAAAATAATTAGAATTTTTTGTAAGGTCTCGTGTATAATTGTGAAAAGAATGTGTTACCATCTTCTGTAGCCATGTCTAGAAAAGCTTGAAGCTTTAATGCCCTTCTATAATACATCATCCCTCTGACTGCATGAAAAAAAGATAACTATCAAACTAACAATTTGATGCGATAAGAGAGCGCAGGAAAGATAGAGACAGCAAGAGAAACTAAACCAACTTGTTCTGCTAAGAGTTTGTCCTCTTAAGGAGGCCCAGTGGCGTAGTTGCAGTATCTTTTCTTCATTTTCCCAAATTTCGGATACTTTACAATTCAGGCGTTCGACGAAGTTATTCCATTCATCTGAGTGAATTATAAATTTTGTTGTCAAATGGATAATACCACATTGAGGAACCAATAAACGCTCTACGAACATGTTTGATTGGGAACATTAACCAAACCTGGATAAATCTTTTGAAGGTAATATATAATTGATACACCATCTTCATTTTCCATTTCAAGGTCGCTTTTGGAGTAGACAGTCTCCTCACTATAATAGGGAGTCATAACACTGCAATGCCAATATACATTGTTGATTGTTGGTAATCCAGGAAAAATATGTAGTGCATTGCAGGTACTAGAAGGACCGTATTAGCACCTGAATGACAGCATTTTGCGCACTCGAGGGGCACGCGGCATGTACATGAAAAGTGAGTTTGTGAAAAATGCTATCCTCCGTCGCGCTTCAAGATTTGTTGGCACATCAATTGCAGATTCTTTAACAGTAAGTAGCAAATAGAGTCGTCGTATCTGTGAAATGAACACAGATGTCAAGTAGTAGGGTTACATATATTCACCAATAGGTTTTTCTTCATTCGTGTGATTACATGAGTGCATGTAACTGATAGGTATAAGTCGAAAAAAGCATTTGCATATACCTGCTCATCCCATTGTGCAGTATTTGGGGGAGGGAATACAATATTGGCAAAAAGTTGCTTCGCAGAGTCTTTGCTTCCTTGACCAACTTCGGCAAGTTCACTGCATTCGGTGAAGTAAATTTCATGAGGACCCACCAGATAGAACACTACTTCTAAATAACGCACTATTTACCAACCGAATCTCATTCACCATCATGTCACGGCTGACTACTTCCAACATATCTTGCAGCAATAAAACAACCCTATCTTTCTTGGATGGATCGCTATCTTTCTGCAGTATACATAGAAAAATTTGCATACATGAAACTTGAAATTGAAAATTGTAATACAATGAAGTACAGATAATACATGGCATACCAATATCTCCACAAGTTCCACAAATTTCTTACAAAGATCAGGTAAAGACCTCATTCTGAAATTTGTAAGCAATGTGTTCTTTGTTATATTGCTTTCAACTTCTTTTATGATGATCCCGATAATCCTGTTCCAGGCGAAAATGTTAAACGGCAATGCAGCTGCCAGCCAGTAATGATACTTAACTGTAGTTCAATATTTATGAGACACAGAGAAAATATCTTGTATGATATAAGTAGTTTGAAGTGCAGTAACAGGAAAGCTTGAAACTGATTACTAGCTGCATATACTAATGACATACATATTTCACTGGGAAAAATATATATATAGTATGACAAGCTAATGCAAATTAGAAGCTCCATAAATAAGTAAGAACAACTATGACCTTTTCTCAGTTTCTCCAACGATCAAGGCATTCAATACAAGTTTAAATGATTCGTAGCATTCAATGACAGCACATTTCATATACTCATCCGCACATATACGTTTCCAGAGGTCAGCATCCTTCGATTTAAATTGAGCTGCCATATCCAACGCTATCGGGATCTGCAGAGACAGATACTCAAACGAAGACTATGAACATAAATAGATAACAAGTATATAATTTATGTACCTTGCTAGCAAGCAAGAAGGGGGGCCATTGTATTAATTTCAGGCTAGGATCTGAGGAGTAAGGTACAAGAAGCAGGTCCATCTCCCTGAGGTAAATAATTCCAAGTTTAGCTCCAGTCTGTCATAAATTTTCAAACAAGTAAAATAGAAAGGTAGGATAGGATACAAAGCGTAGTCTGTTCTAGGGGCATTTCCTGTCGTTTATAAGATCTTCTTCACGGAAGCTACAGATTACTTCATTCCACAACTGAGCAAATTTTGCAGCTTCACATCTCCTACTTTCATTTACCTACGTATGGCAGGAAACTGACAAGTTCAAAGACGGGATCATAATAGCCATTTCTTGGCGAGATGAAGAAATATCAAGTCCAGTGTTGAATAAAAACCTCTTTCGACTGCTTTGAAAGAGAGTATCCTCTTTTCCTAGCTTTGTTAGATGGCACCAAATGAGCATTGAATGCACCAGGTAAAGACTGAAAACGTGACCTTAGCATACCTAAAGTTCGAATCTGTGGAGAGGCAAAAAGTGAACAGAGAAAAGATGAACAATCTTAACTTGATATAGAACTCATCAAACGCTATTATCAAATAATCCCGGAACTTTATAGTTTCTACCCTCAGCGAGTAATAGAAAGCAAAGAGACTGGAACCTGAAATATTGCTTAATAAATATATGCTCTGAAATTGTAACTCTCTGTCGTACATGACAACTCCTACGACTATAGAACATAAATAAGAGTGGAAACAGAGTTATTGAAGCTTGGGACATGATAAACAATTGTCTAATGTGCAATGAACATAGTTTCATCTATTTTAATTACAATAACCCTTACTTTTTATTAGAGATGAATTTCACATTTTTCGGTTTGTTCATTTACAATATTAGAGACTTGGATTTTTTAACTAAAAACGGTGATAAGAAGACAGTGTGAAATCACTGCAACCAAAACTGATAGAAAATCATAGTAAAATAATAATCAATTAACTGTCTTTAATAGTGTCCATTACCTCACCAAGACGATCGAACGCACCAATAAAACCTCCATAAAGGGTAGAGAATATAGCATAGAATATCTGGGTGTCCATGAAGTAAACCTGCATGAAGATTATCATAACTCGGGTTATGGAGAATAAAGAATTTGAATGGTGAAGATTTAAAGGAATATGAATATGAACAATCATGTTAAAGTAAATGTGGTAATGATAAAACGTACCAAGATAACTGGTGCCCAAAGTGCAACAACAGCTCCATAGTTATGCTTAGCTGCATCCGCAATAAGATTACCTCAACATTTGTAAATTGAGTAGATGATTCTGGAAATAAATCGAAGGTTTGAACTCATACCATTTGGTAAGAACTCGTGCCAAGCATAGTCAACATGGTTAATGTCCATTATATCTTGTGTGGGCTTTACCAGAGGTTTTATCTGGACGAAAAGAGGCTCGAATTATAACCAAAAACAAAAAGCAATTGCCAGTATTTATATGTTTGACTGACTAAGTATTGTAAGACATACCATCATAAAATAGTCAAATGCAAATTTTGAACACAGAAGTAACACCCAAAATAGAGTATACCTGTTATCAATTAGAACAACAAGAACATGGTCAATGACAGATGTATAACAAAAATGACTTAAGGAGTAAACCACTTGGCTCAAACATACTTGAGAAGTGAAAATTGACTTTCATGCATTCCCCTCCCGACGTAAATTCTTGGCTGCAAAATTATAGGCCAAGCTTATACGGATGAATCTAAAATCCTAACTCAAGAAACAGATAGAGTGCACATAAAGAAATTCAGGCAGGCTGCAAAGGAGAGAGAGAATTGTATAAAGTAACAGTTCGAGCTTTGCATTTTATGATCCGATGAATCGTTCTTCTCCTGCATATTATCTCTTCCCTAAGATTCTAAGTTATAAGTCGGGACCTTGAATTTTGGTATAGATCACACTAGGGAAAATGTTTTCCTTCATATGTATTTCAAGGAAAACATAATGCTTGCCTAAGAGTAGAGAAGAAAATTAAGGCATACCTGTGACCACCAAAGGAGAAACCTAATAATAAGCCAATCAGAGTTCTCGATCCAGCGTCGCAGCATTGGAAAAATAAACAAGACTGCTGCCAATAAATTTGGTAGCAGGTATACAGCTACGACCACGATGTATAAAGAAGACGCTCCCTTCATTTTATTAAGGAATGGAAGCATATCTTTGATCTTGCTAAATGACGGTGAATTGTTTTGGCTCACGTAACACATAGGAAGTATGATGGACCATGCAAGGCTCACAATTATCTTGAGGAAGTTTCTCAAAACATCAGTGATCTTCCATCTCAGATAGCCTGGGAAGTTAAGAATTAAGTCCAAAACACCTGAAAGAAATTTAAAAAGAACTTTTTTATCAGTGAAACAAGCTTTAGCAGTCGATTACTAAATCTTAACAAGCTCAAGCTACATACTCCGAACAATAATTGGTAACTTTATAGTAAGAACTACATACTCTGAACGAGGCGAAGAAGTGCTGCTGTGATAAAAATACTAGACATGCTGTATAAGACATTCTTCTGGAGGATATCGAACAAAGAAATGTTACTCCATGCAATGATAACCATTATCTGCATGAAACAATCCCGGAATTCAGCAAAGCAGAGACAAAGGAGGAGATTATTCCTTTTCATTCTGTTTTAATTAGTACTTACCTGTAGAGCAAGTATTAGAAATGTCCACAGACGATCAAAACTTCGGAATGTATGCCATAATGTGCGGGTTTCTGCAAAGTATGATTTCCCCAGTTTTCCAGGCTTTTTCTGATGAGCACGTTTCCCCTAAAACAGCGGTTGTCCCACTAAGCATACAAGCAAGATTTATTCACCCAAACAGGTAATATTACCAAGAATATTGATCTCACCTGTGGTACCTCTCGAACTGATTTGAAGAATTCACCATCATCACGCATTGGCCAACCCAAGGAGAAGCAATCTGATGACCTGTACTAGTTTGTCAAATTACAGTTGCAGAAAGGATAGATTTATTTCGATAATGAACAGTACTTTTGGCTTCTGTTTACCAGAAATATTCATTCAAATCATCGTAGTTGCACCAAGCTATGTGGGGGGCTTTACCATTTTTGCCTTTCTTGGCTTCCTGGAGCAAAATAAGCACCACTTGGTTATCTCTGAAGCAGAAACGCAAATGCAATTCTTCTGAGAAAAAAATACCTTTTCAATAACTCGGTAAATGGGTGTTATAACTTTCCGTAAGAAAGATTCATCGTCCCCACCATAAGAAGGCTTGATGTTTTCTCCAGTAACAATGCTAACGTTTCCAGCTAAGAGTCCATGGAGTTCGTATGCCATCTGAACATCAGGTCATATAATCCAAAACGATCACATTTATAGGATTCGTGAATCACTTCAATGGGGCATGTCACCACAGTTTTTTCAACATCAATTTACTTTTATGTAAAGAAAGTAAAAAGCTCACATTGTGGAAAATGTAGCATAGGCACTCTGGCATGAACCGCACATTAGCTGCTTCACCCCATATAAGAAGATAAAGGCCCATATAAAGAATCTTTCTTTGTTGCACTTCCTGCTGCGCCTGGGGGAGCCTGTGACAGAATAATTTATTCGGGAAATTCAATACCTCCATGAAATGAAAGCTTAGTTTACTGCAGAATTCTATCATCTCACCTTAAGCTGTGTTTTCTTCCCAAGTATTTACACCATGACTTGTAGTTTTTGAAAAGTTTATTCATAAGTGCATCAGCAGCTCGATCATCAAGCTAAGGAAATATAATTAGTAAAATTTACTTCAATAAGGTCAGAAATATATATCGGTCAATGTACAACCATATATGATGCACTGCGAAAAATTGAATACAAAATGTGAACAAAGAACTGCTGAAAATAACGAAAAATCTACAGCATGCAAGTATGCAACAATTAGTATTTCAAGGTTAAATCTGAGGTCAAAACTGAAGACATTGAAACGTAGTAGAATATTTGATTTCTTTAGTATTAACAGTTAAAATGATCAATTTATGAGATTCCACTTCATTCAGAGGAAAACAGATAGGGGAAACATACTTTATTTTGCGGTTCAGGCTTGGGGACTAGCCTTGTATGAATATTTGCAAGCAACAGAATCAAGTGCTCCCTTTGGTTTCTGACGTTGTCCCTCTGTAGATATCAAAATAACCCAGTCACTAAATGTCTTCATCAAGAAAAACACAGAATGCATTACTGTATTTTAATAATTCACAAGACATGCCTGAAACCCGAACATGGCCCTCAGCCAATCAAGAATGTCCAACTCCCCTGCTTTCTGCCGAGTTTGCTCAAATGAGCTCGGCCATGCTAAACCCACAGTGTTCCGTAAAGCAGACACAGAAGCTTTGACCTGACATTATAAAGAACGTACCCTCTCAGTACTTAAAAGCTGACTATGTATCTTTGGAAAGTCACCTCTCAATATGCCCATCATTACTAAGATGGCACAAATGCATTACCTCATCAAGTTGCATAATGGACTGTGATGCTCCGGCAGAGTCCAGTGGAAGAATGTTATACGGAGAATAGATTTCCTTTTTCGCCTGGACGTCGTTTGCTGCAGCCATAATCTGATTGATAACAATCAATTTAATATGCTAAGTTCTTTATGATGTCGAATTGTGCCTCAAGTTATAAAAATATTAACAAGAAAATAAAAATTGGACTTAATAAATATAAGATAATCTGTACGGCTATGATGAAAACTGACCTCAGGAGCAACTTCCTCAACTTTTTCAGTCTTGTTAACGGCACAAAGCACTTCAAAGAGCACACCAGCTGTCTGGTAAGCTTTTCCGAGCTGAGCTCTGCCATAAGAAAACCAAATAAATTATTGATCAGCTCAAACAGGTACTTTTTAAACATATAATTTTCTATGAGAAAAAAGAACTGCTGTAAAACTAGTCTTTTCTCAGCAGGTACCTATCAGCTTGCTCCCCCTTGTTAAGTGCCAAAACATAGTGCTCATAGTATTGCTTGTAGAAGCTCTCAATCTCTCGGGCATCGGTTTTTTTAACCCGAGAAGCAAGAGTTGAAGCATTGTCCTGATTAGGAGTTTACCATAAGTCTGATTATCGAGATATAAGAGGAATAATAAACTATGCATTAAACTGTCTACATGGTTCACTTCATACAAAGCATTCAATCAACCGTTTTTTTTTTTTTCCTTCTTTTGAGTGAGATTCCAATCTATCTATAGATATCACTCTTCAGATCATCTTTATTGCATTTTTTTCTAAATTTACGCAGAAGAGCTTCTTGGCCTATTCCCATCCAGTATCTCAAGAATCGAGCTATTATAAGTGGGGTAGAAGGCAAAGACAAATATAAACAAGGGCCAAGTTAAAGCAAGTACATGAGTGCATTATGAATCACTTTTCCCTCGAAAGAAAGTTGGTGAAAATTTCTGAAGGAAAATAAAATAGCTTCTCGGCATGCATTGATTTTTTTGGAATATACAATGTGAAAGAAAATCATATGTGTGGCCGCGTGAGTTAAATGGCCTAAAAAGAAAATACAATTAATAATAATGTTATTATAAAATTAATTAATGGCCCGTTAACATTGAATAACCGTATTAATATGTCTTATCTACTGTTAAACTTATATTCATTAGACTTATTCAAAATTAGCTACTTCTTGGGGACTGATATATTCATGATTCTGTCTTAACATTAATGAAAAAATTTCACGCATTTTATCGTTTGTGTACTTATTATTGCAAAAATATAAACAACATGCTGACTTTAATTTAGCCGTACAAAAATACTTTTAATATGGTATGACGGTTTGTTCTATACTACACGCTATTAACTTCATCGGTCAGTTTATATCGTAATAACATATACGCGTGGGAATAACTTGTTGTATTTCATTACGTGTCGAAAATTTTCATCCCTATATATATGGGTTAAATAAGGAAGTATATTTACCCGATCTAATCTTTGATGAAGACTGGTCTTGAATTGCCGTACACCACGTCCACTGGAATTTGGATCCAATCTGTGCGCCTTCTCAAATGCATAAAATCGACCTGTCGAACAATTGAACCCGATTGAGTGAGAAAAATTGATGATGAACTTCAAAAATCAAAATAGAACAGCATGCAAGCCAAAAATTAATATCCCCCAAAGAATTTATCTGAGAACAGCATAAAATAAGACGAGGGAATAAATAAATAAATAAATAAATAAAATACTTCAGGACCGGAAATTGGAAAGGTGGCTACGTACAGAGATAGGCTACACGGGGGCGTTCATTCTGGATCTCTTTAGCGACGCGGAGGATTGGGGCAATTGACTGGAGCGATGACGGAACAACCTCATTGTCAAACACCTCCATGGAGAAAGTCGTCATGGCGGCGCTGCGCGACGGCCGCCGTGACAGGGTGTGCTCAAAATTCACCCCTGATGCCATCTTCGTTCGGTCCAATTAACTATCCACCGGAGCAATTGATCAAACAAACAACCGCGCGCAGTCCTGCTCAGGCGAGCTGCAAAATAAATCTCCAACTCCTCCTCCGCCTTTTCGTTTCCTCTCGCCGCCCAATCAAATCAAATTACGGGAAAAAATAAAAGCAAAATTACAGCCTGAAATCACAAAACAATTCGTCATTATGCGTACGTAGATACGTCTGAATTCTCGCTCGTGTGTATCCAGATTCAGACGATGGGTAATTTCTGTAGAGAGAGAAAGAAGAATGTGCGTGTGTGTGTGTGTGTTTTGTGCGTGTGATTAGAAATGAAAGGGAAAATGGGGGATTGTGCGGGAAAAAGGAGGGAGAATTGAAATTATTAAGAGAGGGACACGTGTTTGAATCTGAGGCTTCTGCGGATATGGCCGTTGGAAAATGTAAACACCCCACCGTACCTCCGCTATTTTAAGTTTCCCTTTCTTCTCTCCTTTGGTCTTTTTCCTATTGATCTACCCTTTTTCCTCTTTGACCCAAAAAGTCAAAATTTCTTGACATTCTCTTTGGTAGTGCTTGGTATAGGTGGATTTTATGGGTCAACCAATCCATTTTGAATTATTTGTCATGGTCGATAATGGATAATTAATCGATCTATAGAGTCTGACGATAATTTTAACAGATTCATTATGTATAAATGGATTGGTTGGTGGTTCAATTTTCTCGAAAGTCGATTGGCCGATAATTATTCAATCAATCGAATTTTTAATAATAAAATTTTATTATAAATATTTAATTATAGTCAATTTACTAACATTGTGATAATATTTTTCAGTAAAAAATCAAAACTTAAAATAATATATAAAAGAAAAAATGTCTTAAAGAGTTAAAATGCAAAATGCAAAATTATAGACCTCTACCTGCTAATTTGATTTTCTAATTCATATTTCCTATTATCTTTTTATGTATCTACTTCTTGTAGAATTTAGTGGAAAACAATTTAAGGTTAGGGCTTTTGCAAGACAAGAATTTCCAAATCGGATTTGAACAATAAGTAGATCCATCCCTTCGACTACTGCAGACATGTGATAGTAATCTTCCGCATTCTCTACTTTGTTGGGATCAAAGACTCTTACGTTGTCCAATTGATATTTGAGTTGTATGATAATGCATACTTGATCACGTGTCATGAAAGAAGCTGGTCATGGAGCAATGGCCCGCCACTTTAGGTACCTTTGATATCCCAAAAACGCCTCAAAGGGCATGAATGAAGGCGGCAACCCGCCACCTCAAAGTACTTCTGGTATTCGGAATCATCCTCGACGGCCACAAATGACGGCCTAAATATTCATACCAGTCTAAATTATATTTCAATACAAATGCAATGCTATGCTTTATTTGGATTGACAAATTTGAAGCTAAGAAATTAAAATTCAAAACATTAAATCAATTTAATATATTTGAAAATTTTGGTTTTAATTGATTTTCTATACTTAGTTTTCATTTTTAACTACATTCAGATCGTTCTTCAACTTCAAATTCACATAATAATAAATCGTTCAAAATGGATTCATTTGAATTATTTTCTCAACATAAATTATTTAATCCAACTGCATCTTTGTGAATTCTTAACAAATCATAAAGCTTGAATTCACACACAACTTTAAGAGCAATAATTTTTTTTCTTAGCCAAACAATCCATCAACATAAATTTCAATAGCTATAAAGAGTCATTTAATTATTTTTGCTTAGTTAAAACGTGTTCATCTCACTATAATTCTTTCCTCAGAGATTGAATTCGTGTTTGTTAAGATTTCTAAAATAAAATCTCAAAACAACTTCTAAAGTTTATTTATCTGATGATGTGTCTGCTATACTAAAAAAATTCGAGCGCTACAGTAAAAAATTTCTTCACTAAAAAATAAACTAACATTACTTTATTTTTTCAAATTCTTCTTTTACAATACATTTTTCTAACACCTTTAAACATGATTTGATCGCTACAGCCTACAGTGTAGATTGTTTCATTTAAAATTATAAATAAACATTACTGTCATTCTCCAATTATTCTCTCAAAATATATTCCCAAAATAAAATGAATATAACTCCCAAAACATATCAAAAAATTGCCTACTTATTTTTTAAAATTCCTCATTTTCTTCTTCATCTTATTTCATGTTCTTCCATTAAACACACCAATTAAACAAATAAAAAGTGATGGTGAGTGAAGAGACCGAAAATCGGAGAATTTTGATACGATATATTAATATATATCGTTTAATTATTAGATAGTTAGTATTTTATTATTTAATTAATTATATTAGTATATTTATGATATTTATATGGCCGTGAGTTAGGGTTAGGAGATTAATTAAGTATTTAATTAGTATAGGTGATTTTTATCTTTCCTAGTTAGATTAGGATTCTAGGGTTTTATTTTCTTTAAATAGTCGTATTGTGCTAGGGTTTTAGAATGAAGAGAAAAATATTAAAGAATAGATCTTACGTTTCGTAGGAAATATTTATGATACTCGAGAGATCATATTTATGATTCTTCTTCTTCTTCGCCGGAAGAAGAAGAATCAGATTCAACTGGTATAAAGTGGGACGAGGAGACGAAAGAAGAAGAATCGGAGTCAACCGAGATAAAGAAAGGAGACGAAGAACCGATGGTCAGTTTAGAGGAGACAAAATCTACAAAGATGATTGAAAAAGTTTATTTATCGGGAAAAAGATTGAATATTTTCGCTAAAGTAGCCTTTGGAATTTCGTTGGATCAGCATAAACAATGTATTAAAAAGCTCGGTCGTTCATCGTGTTTTTCGGAGTCAATCGGGAAGCAAGTCAATGAAGTCAAACATAGGTGGAAACGCAAAGGAGAGGGATCAAATTGACTCGAACCTTGAGGACAAGGTTCATTTCAAGAGGGGTGGTTTGATACGATATATATTTAATATATCGTATATTTATTCATTAGTTATTATTTAATTATTTAATATATATTATTTAAGTATTAAATTAGTTAGGAGCCGTAGGTTTAATGATTATAGGATATATATTAAGTATTTTATTAGTTTAGGTAATTATCTTTCCTAGTTAGATTAGGATTCTAGGGTTTTATTCTCTTTAAATAGTCGTATTGTGCTAGGGTTTTATAATGAAGAGAAATATTAAAGAAGAGTTTTCTTACGTTTAGTAAAGAAATCTTATGATACTAAAGAGATCGCATCAATTGGTATCAGAGCGAAGTTGCGATTAACACCAACGCTTCGTTAGCAAGGCAGAGATTATATCAAAGCTACGCTGGAGCAAAGTTGAGATTACATCAACACTTTGCGAAATTATGTCGTCCGAGAGAAAACGTTTAGAGCGATTGGAAAAATCTGTGGAGGAGATACGGATTGGTCTCCAAAAACTGCTCGAACAAAGTCAAGGACGGGGCCAACATAAGAGCCGAAGAGACTACCACCGGCGACCAACAACACCACTACCGCCGCTGCCGAGCCTATCGCCGGAGGAAGAGGACGAGGACGACGATGACTTTTTCGAAGATCCACCGCCGCCGCCAACGCCAAGCCTACCGCGTAAGGAAGAGGAAGAGGACGACGATGATTTTTTCGAAGAACCCCAATTTTTTGTGAGTTTGCCGAAATATGAATTATCGGATTCACTTGAGGTAATTTGGGATGAGGACGAGGAATTAACTAAGGAAGAGAACGAAGAACTACAGTGGATTTTGGGAGATTTCCATGGTGTGCAAAAGAAAGGAGACGAACAAGATTTGGTGACTTTGAATGAGACCGGATCTGTAAAGACGACTGAGAAAAATAAAAGAATGATATTGATTGTGAAGGAGATGAAATTTGAAAAGGCAACTGAGAAGGTCGATTTGTCGGGAAAGAGATTGAGAAATTTAAGTCGGGCAGATAGGTTCATCTTTGGAAAAGAGCTCGATTTTTCATCGTGTTTTTTGGAGTTGATTCAGAAGCAAGTCGATGAACAAATCGATGAAGTCAAACATAGGTGGAAACGCAAAGGAGAGGGACCAAATTGACTCGAACCTTGAGGACAAGGTTCATTTCAAGAGGGGTGGTTTGATACGATATATTAATATATATCGTTTAATTATTAGATAGTTAGTATTTTATTATTTAATTAATTATATTAGTATATTTATGATATTTATATGGCCGTGAGTTAGGGTTAGGAGATTAATTAAGTATTGAATTAGTATAGGTGATTTTTATCTTTCCTAGTTAGATTAGGATTCTAGGGTTTTATTTTCTTTAAATAGTCGTATTGTGCTAGGGTTTTAGAATGAAGAGAAAAATATTAAAGAATAGATCTTACGTTTCGTAGGAAATATTTATGATACTCGAGAGATCGTATCAAACTTTTAATCAAATGACCAACCATGTCTTTTTTTTTAGAACGAAAAGGACGATTTATATTATGACGTCAAATCAATGTTTACAAAATATTGAATCTCAAGAGGTAAAGAATCAGCACAAAAATCATCTTGAAAACAGAGTCGAGCAATATTATGTGCTACTCGATTCTCATTTCTTCAGACATGGTTGGCAGAAAAATGCTTAAACGAGTTTGCAAGGGCATGAATATCTGTGATAATGTTTCCGTACATCGACCATTCTTCACGTCCGTCACAGATTGCTGCAATAACCACGGCGGAGTCTCCTTCAAGAACAATTTTGTTCCATGATCTTCCTTGCGCAAATTCCACCGCCAAGAGTACTGCTTTTGCTTCAGCCGAGTCCAGAGGTTGATTTATACAAATCGAATAAAGGAGGTTGATTTGAAAAAAAAAAATGATGAAATGCTGCAATTCAAATATTATTTGAATTCAAAAGCTTATCTAATAATTTAATATTTTTCAGTTCAAATTCAAGTTCTATTTTGACCATGATCCCGCCCGAATATTAAAAAAACGTAAAAAAAACAAAAGAAAAAGTAACAACGTGAAAAAACAAAAAAAAATGTAACAAAGTTCGTCGTTTGTTCAGCTCATCTTGAATCGTTGTAATCGAACGTCAACATTCCTTGCATAAATTTGTAAATACTCCCCCCTGAATTTCTTATTAATGCAACATTTAATATGTAGTGAACTGAAAATTAAAAAAAAAAAAAAAAAAGTGCCCTTGTAATTGACTTTAATAAAATTTCTCCTTGTAGCCCGGGTCAAAACAACAACCCGACCCGCATTTAAAAAACCAACCCAGAAAAAAAACCCGGAGATATGTAGGCATAATGAAATGTCAAATGTAACCCTCAATCTAGGGTACATTAAGAGAAGCTGATACTAGGGTTTCATCGTTATCCACTCCCCCTCTTCTCCACTCCCCCAACTCTGCTTCTTCTCCTCTCTGGATTTGCCTCACAGCTCGCAGAGGTAATTACCGATTTGCCTCCTCTGTTCTTGCTCTCTCTCCATGTGCACACCTTCATCTGCTTTTTTTTCGCATCAAATTTTCATTTTTTGAGTATATTAAATTCATAATTTGAGATTTTTTTTAGCATACATGTATTTGTGCATCTGCTGGTAGAAATGATACAGCTTCGGTATTGGGTTTGTGCTTTATTATTTAGATTTAGTTGAATTTAACGTCTCATTTCGATTTCGTGGCTTAATTTCTGAATTTCCAGAACGCTTAGGGTTTTTTTTTTTTTTTTTTTTTTTTTTTTTTTTTTAAATTTTGGTTAGCTTTTAATATAGAGAAATTCGGGTGTTGTGTTTTTTTGGGTTTTGTATTTCTTAAATTGGGATAAAATGGGTTGGCTTATGCTAGGAATCGAGGCAGTTTTTATGGTTAATCGGATCTATTTGCTTCGTTCACGTAACGAACTGCTATTAATATGCATCTTTTAGTAAAATATTGTTTAGCTTTTGAATTTCCGTTTCTTGTTTCGGATAAATGTAAGTTCTTTAAGTTAAACCTGGAAAATCATTATACCGGACTTTCATTTAAAACGTGTTTTTATTCGGTAATTAGAACTTCTCACATGGAATTCGCTATTGTGGAAAATCATTTTCTTTTCAGATTTAAATGTAAGTGTGTATTGAACATGTGAAGAAGAAAATATTTATCTTGCTTCATACTATATGAAAATACGAAAAAGCTCAGTAGAAATTGAAGAAACCGAACTTTTTAAAAAATGTCCGACTTCTTAATCGAGTTATTTTTCATCTCTCTAACAATTTCTGTTGACAGATGAATGTGGAAAAGCTAATGAAGATGGCCGGTTCGGTTCGTACCGGTGGGAAGGGTACAATGAGAAGGTTTTATTTATTTATTTAATGTTTTTTTGGCACCATTTGCTTTTCTGTTTTAAATTAATTAAATCCGACAAACTCGTCTTACTTACGATAAAAAAATAACTTGTTTGCAGAAAGAAGAAGGCTGTTCACAAAACAACCACAACCGATGACAAAAGGCTTCAAAGCACACTTAAGAGAATAGGAGTGAATGCCATACCTGCAATTGAGGAAGTCAATATCTTTAAGGAGGATATCGTCATCCAGTTTACTAACCCTAAAGGTATATAATCGGCAACGCCAAAAATAATTTAAATTTTGTTCGATTATTTTTCCCCCTATTTTTTTCGTTGCTTATTGCTATTGATTTTCTTTGTTGTATAGTTCAAGCTTCTATTGCGGCCAACACATGGGTTGTTAGTGGTACTCCTCAAACAAAGAGTATGTTCTCTTTTCTCTCTCTAAATCTTTATTTCTAAATTTTTTGTCTGTTATTTCACGTGACGAATTGTGCTCCTAGTGAGAGAAATGTTTTATTCAATATGGAAATACATGTATGTTCTTTTATGTTTTTTTCGTAAGACAAAATTGGGTTAATTCAGAGGTGGAAATTAGAACGGGAATTTCAATTTCCGCCTATTTCGATCCAAAATTTTCTTATTTTGGAACAATATTTTTTATTCCGAATTCCAAATTCCAAATTTTCTAGATTATTTTTGGATCTGAATTGGAGATTCTCCGTTTTTAATTTCCGAAAGTTCTGATTTTTTTTATTTCCGAAAAATACACTTGTAATACCAAAACTATTGTATTTTATATACTATGTTACTAAAAATTGGACGTTCCGAATTCTGTTGATTCCGATCCCAAAATTTACGATTTTATTGGACATAATATGGAATTAGTTTAATCTGTTCAGAAAGCTACTAATACGACGAGCATTCATATTCTTTTTTCTTTAATGTTTTTGCATCCAACTCTTCCAAGAATGCTCATCCTTGTTTATTTCCTCGTTTCCGTTTCTTTCAGAGTTGCAAGACATTCTTCCTCAAATTATCCACCAATTGGGTAAGTTGCAGCCTCTTCCCCTACACGCGATATTTGTTTTCGTTAATTTTTAATCCCGATTCAATTCATCAACACTAAGGTTTATTATGTTAATAAAAAAATTTCAGGTCCGGATAATTTGGAGAACTTGAAGAAATTGGCGGAACAGTTCCAGAAGCAGACACCTGGCAGTGGTGGGCCCACTTTGGAACAAGATGATGCTGACGATGACGATGTGCCGGACCTTGTCCCTGGTCAGACATTTGAAGCTGCTGCTGAAGAGGAGGGCCATACCCACACTTCTTCTTAGTCGATTCTCTCCTTATTCGGTTTTTCTCATTGCCTATATTTCTCTATGTTTTTTTTTGGATCTATTTTGTTATTTAATCATGTGTTAACTGTGAGTTTCGTAACAGAGAGCCGGTGCTTGGATTTTTAAATTAGCAATTAGTATTCATAAAATGCTTTCATGGCAATTATTTAGAAATCCTCTGAAAGTGCTTAGTATGGAACTTACTAGTATGGATTGTTTCGGTAGAGAAATCGTGTGTGGGTTGGATCGTAATTAGTTAGCACTGTTGGTTAGTTTTTGATTTTTTGTGGAAGTGCCAAATTAATTCGAAGCCTCGTCTTAAAAATTGGAAATTTAATTTTGGAGATTCAAGTTAGTATTTTGTGAAAAAATTGACAGTTTTTGGTTCGGAATTGATGGAAATTATTTGTTTGTTGTGTATAAGATATATTATTATATTGATACTATAAATACAATTTTGGGGAAGAAAAAAGTGGAACGTTTTGAATTTCATGTATCCCAAATTTGATAAACAAAAAATCAAACAGTTTACCAATTGGTATTTTGGAATTATTAGTTAAAAATATTGTTTCAAGATAATTCCAACATTTTTTTTTCTGAATTAACCTCAGAGAGAAAAATATAATTCCAACAATTTTTTCGAAATAATCTCAAATAAATATAAAAATGCCCACTTGCCTTGTGACTTGTGAGCATGGTAACCGGCCCTTGCCATACCGTTTTTCCTAACAAAAACGTTTTCTCCTTTTCCTTGTGGCGCTGTGATAACGCCGAAATCGCCGAGTCTGCTCCAAAAAATGGAATTTGTCTCGGCTTCAGATCAGTTGGTTGGAAATATTTTTTTGATTTGTTACTTTTTTTTCCCTCTCTCATCAACTCCGCATCTCTTTCTAAAAATTAGCCCAAATTATTGTTATTCAAGGTGTCGTGATTCATCTTGTATTTGCTCGAATTCATTGTTGTATTACTATTGCATGTAATTTTGCAATGTTGATACAAGATTGTAGTAATATCTACTTTTCAAGTTGTAATAATACTTTCCATATCATTTTACTGCAATGTTGGTATTAAAAACATATACAAAATAATTTTTTATTTTAGCATTTTAATTGGAACTTGTCATTTCCAGGCGTGACAAGGTCACAATCGACGTTGCAGTGGAACTGGAACGACAATGTCATCGACAATGTCCCGCTACGTTATGTTGAACGATGCTTATGACTGGAATGTGAAGGGAGGATTAAACACCTTCCCATGAGGGAACTCGAATTGTAAATACTAACGTCTAATTAGGGGTTAAAATCTTCTTGCTGGCTATTATTGTGTCATGTAAAGCATGGTAAATTCGGAACAAGACGGTTCATGGGGAGATTCGAATACAAGTGGAGGAAATTGTAGCATGAAGTAGTATGTTCTTGAAGACTTTTCAAGATACTCAGCTCCAGTCTAGCCCAACTGCCCAAGCGATACACACCAACACAAAGACACGTGGAACCCACCTCCTATTGGCGTGATTAAGATTTTTTATTTATTTATTTTTTAAAGGAGGATAGTTACTAGTTCCCTAATTCCCCTCCTGGTGTCTCGAACCCATGACCAAATGGTCCTAGGTGCAAGGTGCTTTACCAACAGACTACCTTGTCTTGACAATTGGCGTGATTAAGATTAACTATGATACAACGTTTCCTCGGGGCATGCAATTCTAAACAGTGGCCTCAGTTGCACGTGATAGTGATGGACATTGTGTGGGCTGGTCGGCGCGAAGCTTTAAAGGGCGGCCACGGGTGGCGGAAGGGGAAGCACATGCTACTCTCGAAGCACTTAAGATGGCTCGTTCTCACGGTTGGAGCTCAATTATTCTTGAAGGGGAATGTTTAGAGGTCATTAACACATTTAAAGATGATAATCATGCTTTTGCACCATTTGGAGCTTTTATTTTTGATGCTGCAGCTATAGCTTCATAGCTTCATCCTTTATGTTATGTGATTTTCAATTTGTTAAAAGAACCGGTAATCATCTTGCCCATAAGTTAGCGTCTCAGGGTGGATTTCGATGTGTGGAAGGAATTCATCTTCCTTCGGTTTTGGCAATTTAGCTTTAATAATACTTCGTTTTCCTAAAAAAAAAATAAAAAAATAATAATAATAATAATAATTAGGGGTGAAAATTAGAATGTAATTTTCGAATTCTGACAATTTCGATCAGAAAATATCCGAACTTGGAACTATATTTTTCATTATGATATCCGAAGTTCTGATTTTTAATTTTCCAAATTTATTTGGAACAAAATTGGAATGGTATATAAAATTACCGGAAATTTTGATTTCCGAATAGTTCTATGTTTTTTCAAAATATATAATATAATTTTATGATATATTTCGTAACTCCATAATATAACTTATGTTATATTTTATATGAAAAATATAAATACTGAAGGGTCAAGTAAATTAAAATCTTAGAAAATATTAATTTTTTTTAGTAAATATTAATTTGTTAGAAAATATTAATTGGTATAAGAAACTTTATGTTGCATTTTTCCTTATAAGGAAATTTTTGTTTTAATTTGTTGTTCCTACATGTGTTTTTATTTATTGTGTTTTGTCGAACTCTCTTTTGAATTTTCTTGCATTTTTTCCTGCAAATTTTCAGAAAAATAGAGAAAAATATTGTGAAAATTTTCATTATATATGAATTTGGAACAAGAGATTATAAACTAATGTAATTTCCGAAATTCCTCCGATTCCTAGGCATTCCAAAATCGAAATGAATTTTTGCATTCCGATTTTTTTGAAACGAATATTGGAACCCATTTCTTGCTTACGAAAAAAAATATTTTTCTTCCGAAAAAGTCATTTTTCAATTAATTCGGCCCGATTTTTAACCCCACGTATAACAAATTAATATTATCATGAAATAAAAAGTAGGTTCGTATGGTCGGGGACTTGGTTTTTTTTTTTTTTTTTTTTTTTTTTGTTTGTTATAAAAAAACAAGATGCATTAATTAGCAAATTAAACAAGTCAATAGGAAAATTCCATCGCAAAAGCAAGAAAGGGGCAAGGAATGACACCACACCAATTTACAAATTTAGCCCAATCAACAAAATTGTGAATTATCAAAATATAAAATAAAAAAGAAATCAACAAAATTGTGAGTAACAATTAAAATTAACATTCCTAGAACAAAAACATAATTTCCATTTGAGCCAACCAACAAGGGGAAAAAAAAATCTCGTCTTTAATCATGATAGAACTTAAAGCTATGTTGCACGTAAACTTCGATTTCTTAATGTATTCATGTTTCAGATATATTTGCGAAACTCGAGAACACCTGCCGGTCACCTTATGCGCCATTTGCAATTTCTAAAAACTTCGAAACATGTTTGAATAGCAAAATTTTAAATATCTTTGTTGCTTCACTAATTATTTACATAGTTGATAAGTTAATGATTAATTACAAATTGATAGTTGATAATAATATTTATTTTGAATATATTTGTGAAGAAAAATATATAAAAAATAATTTATGTATAAATAAAAACATATATGTTTATATATCATATTTAAAAATATACCGCATGGACTTCTAACATTTACAAGTTTCCCCCTAATTCCCGTATCCCAATTTTTGGACATGCCTTTTCCCGCGTCCGTTTTCCCGTTTCTCCATATCGCCGTTTCCGTGTCGTGCAACATAGCTAAGAAGCAAGCCTAACTCTTTATGGGCTAATTTTTAAAGGTAAATCATGATAATTGATAGTGGAAAAGTTTTTAAAGGGGAATGATTATAATTGATGGAGAAACTAAAAATCACAATAATCATATCTAAAGAAGTCAAACTGCTTCCAAAGATTTAATAAAATAGATGCAAATGTCAAACCATGTAAATGCACATAAATTCCTTCTATTTGAGGGTTATAGGCTCACTGGTTATATTTCTAGGTTGATTGTACTTTATGCTTATAAAGAAAAACTAAATAATATTACTACCAGTTAAAAGGAATTAAGTAGTCAATGATGACATTTAAATTAAGGGGTTGCATGTTTCTTTTTATCCTACACCCGGTGATAAATAATGGGTGAATGTTCTGGTGACACGTGTTATATTTAACTATTTATTATATAGGGATTATTAGGGAAAACTCCCTCATATGCATTGTCTCATTAAACTAGATCTTTTTTTTTTCTGCCTTTTTGAGATAAATCCAATTGCATTTTATTCAGTATATTATATTATTAATAACCTATTTTACCCTTTCTCAAATTTTAACCTAATTAAATCCTTCTAACCCGTAGCGCCTCTTTCTTTTCTCCTCTCCCCCTCTTTTATCCACAACCCACTCCCACATCCACACCCACACTCTCGCAGCCCCACCGGACGACCACACCCACACCCTCGCGGCCCCACCAAACGACCACACCCTTTCATCGGAGACCACACCATCGTCGACCCCTTCATCCTCGGGTATGAGGATCTGTGCTCTTTTATATTTTATATTATATATTATATATATGAAAGAGTTTCTTATGACCGATATTGAATTCTTGTTGCTCTGTAGGAATTCTATTGTATGAGATGCTTTATGAATATACAGGGAGAAAACGAGGCAGAAGACCTTTGCAAACATTCTTCACAATGATTTAAAGTTTCCAAGAAGTAAAGAGGTGTGCTTTTTGATAGATATTTTAGATTATTTTTTATTCCGCAAGAATAATTTGATTATGAAATAGTAGCAATGTAATGGAGTTTTAATAAACTATGTTTGGGTACATTTTAATAAACTATGGTTGGGTATAGGTTAGTCTCCAAGGGAAGCCTTTAATGTATCGATTGCTACACAGAGATCCCAAAAATAGACTAGGGTCACGAGAAGGTGCTCTTGTTCGTTGCATGGTAATTAATCAATCGTACACACTATATTCTTATTATTTATCATTGCAATTTTACTTAAGCGCAATTAAGGAACTAATTTGTTTATTAAACATCTTCAGAGCCCTCCCACGCTCGACGCTCCCATTTCCGAGGAGAAAGAAACGAGTGTAGATCCTGGACTAGATGATTTGCAAACGCTCCCATTATCGATTTTGGGATTCTGGACAGTGCGATGATGTAGATTTACCTATCAGATGTTGATTTTCTCGGCTATTTTCCAGTTCTCTCGACTTGCAGCTTCCTTTGTTTTTTTAATAGCGGTTTTCAATAATTATGTACAGATTTTTATAGTGGTTTTCAATATTTTTACATAAACCACCATAATCTGTATAAATAATTATAGTGGTTTTCAATAATTTTTTACAAATTTTATATAAC